TAAATCTAAAAAAAGTAACCATTTTAGGTCACACATTTCCAGTTGTCAAAACCTAAACTAGCATTTACATCAGCACTTGTGTATTATGTTATGAGAGTCAGTCGATTTAAAACACCTAAACCAGTTGACCCCACAAAACTTCAGGAGAAACAAATCACGTGATTCAGATATGACATCCCAAAGCGTAGAATTCATTTGTTAACTACTGCACAAGTTATTTATATACATAAATACACGATGCAACTTTCTAAGTTAATCTTATACAACAAACCATCACTGTTGGTCTAAATATTTTGATTCACTGACGCAAACACGTAAATATTATAGACGATTATGCTCTTTTATGTATAAAGCAAAATATATAGAGGTACTTTAAATGGTAAATCAGTATTTTTTGTAATGCACTATGATCTTAAATTACTTAACTTTGTCAACTATGAAGTCAGTTTCTTACCAAGATCAATAACTTGTGGAAACATCAAATACAAATCCATGTTCTTATATTTTAAATTTTATCAGCAGGACTACAACTTTTTTCATAAATATCTTGAAGCATCATGTGTAAAACAATGTAATGTTTCATTCAGTATTTATGTCCATCCAAGTAACTTACTTCAAATTATTTTAGTCAGCGATGTATATAATGATGAAGATATTACGAAGAAGTAGTCGAATGTTATTTAGGTTTACAATAACTAGCATTTACATTAGTAATATATTTAATATTTAGTAAGACATAAATAATTTCCAATCTTTAACCATTTCTTATAATTATTTAACTTTTCTATTCAAATTTCAATCTCGTATCATTGCTTGTTTTGTTTACATGTTTCATACATTTGCCCTTAGAACATTAATTTATAGGGATATATAATAATGACTTATACTTAAATACGTAACAAAAATATAAATGTTGACTAGGTAGTAATCTCTAAGTAGCTATGAAACTTTCTATTGTTTATAAGATTTTGTATTTAAGCACAGAGTTAATAACATATTAAAATTTAACTATTTGGGCACAGAATTCCTGGACAGTAGAAACATGCTTGTTGAAATATTATAATACGAACGTTAGATTACAGCTTATTTTGAATTAAACTTTGTTTTGACTCGCAAGGGTCAGATATTTGTTTGACAATTGATCTGAATCATGTAGTTTAAATTAACGAATCACAATATGATCATGCATGAGTGTTTGATATCTGAGAGATGGTTCTGTGTTTAATTTGTGTTGACAACTTTGATGTTCGGAAACTACTCATTAAAATACTAAAATAAATGTTAGTAAAAATAGGTTTGACTCAAACTGTTCTTTAGATAACGCCAAGGCAACCAATCACTATTGTGGAGAAATTATTTTATCTTTTCACAGTTCTTTTTTTTCCATAATAACATCTTTGAAAAAGCATCAAATAAATTATTATTCCACTTGCATATTTTGTATAGAAGATATTTTTAAAGAATATAATATCATTAACTCGTGAATGCTGTGTAAAATGGTATTTCAATTCAACGTGTGCGAATGCCGATATTCTTGTTATATATGATAAATGAGACTTTTTCAATGTTAATGTTTTGGGTATTTACCAAGTTCTCTCTACAATATGCGTTTCTTTCAACTATACGAGTTATTTAGTTAGAAAGTGACTTAAAATATTATCAACAATTTTCTTTAAATGTATTTATTTAATCCTCCAATTCAAAGTGAAACGTTTGAACAACAACAAAATATATATAATTAAGTGAAATACCTCATCAGATCGTGATCTTTACTGTGCGAGATTAAACCGAAATTTACATTTATATTAATCAATATTAATTAAAGACTTGTAGCTTACAGAAATCGTGACAAAGTCCTGCTGCCACTTGATGTACATGATTAGAAAAAAAAATTGAGTGATGGATAGGAAACAAAATGGGCATCAGTGAACTGTATGATTGAAAATATATCTACCCTTCCGGCTATGCTTGACAACGCTTCCATTAATGGGGTTTCCGCTGTTATGTGGCTGTCATCCTCTTCATGATCTGGCTGGAGTACCAACTGTTTTGCTTGTCTGAAGAAGTCGATCTGGGCGTATTCTGTCGGTGGCTCTGTACGTCTGACTGCAGTCGAAGCATGGGAAGTAGGCATTGAAAGCTCCGCGTAAGTTACTTCTTGTTTATCCTGAACATTTATAACATACGTAATTTATTCTTTGTCTTGCGTAACCATAACTTACAAATATGAATATATATATATTTTGTCGCACATCACTATTGTAGGCACGAAAAATGTAAGTCACAATATCAATAGCGAAAGTATTGATATCACAATAAATTGTTTTATTTTATTAATACTTTAATGTTGGTTATAGCATTAAGAAAATCTTATTGTCTTCATATAAATTTTCGTCTGTACGTATATGTATAAAGTTATAGATTCTTGAAGAAAACGCAACAGCTTTATTAAATTTAAAGCCCAAAGCAAATATCATAACCTAATTCGATACAATTATCTACTACCGACGATTTTTAAATAAATCATAAACAAACAAACAAACAAAAAATGAACAATAATAACCAGAGTAATTTTCGAAGGTAGAATTTCTTGATTGAATATAAATAAAATTTTAGAATTTAAAAAGTAATATGTATTCATCATATTTTTCACTTACGTAATTTGATTTTGTTCCACCACTTTATTACATGCTATCAAATATGCTTACAAAATTAAAACTATCGTATCCTCGAGACTTAAGCTAACTTTAACTAAAAAGGTAAACCATTCCAAAATAATTTATCCATTAGACATAAATAATTATTTCTTATTCTACGTAAAACTTTGTTACTTTT